CATGCTTTATTATAGTTGTCATTAGCCCCTTAGTTGACTTCTGGCTTCACACAGGACAGGCACATCAAAGTCAAAACATGTCGATTGGGAGGGGGGACAGAAGGGCGTTTCAAGATGTAAAAGTGATAAACTGACACAAATGTAGGGAAAACAGTAAGATGAGTACTGTAGAAGTGATGGAAAATAGACATTTTTTCGTATGAGTATACGTTGCCCAGGAGACGCATCAAAAGGAAGTTAGTCTATAGCACAACCCCTGTAGTATATTATAATAACTAGCATATTTCATTATTACCTTCCGTATAAGTTTGTGACCCTTACTAAGCCTAAACGATCTAATCAAGCAGAATCTACTCGTGTGACTCTGCTTCAGATATCAGCTTACCTATCTTTACAATATCTGGGAAGGAAAAAGTGCTCGTTACAAATTAAGCTCAGGGCAAACATGGACAACAAATCAACACATTTGATCTAAATTGAAAGAATATTAATCGCTGATTAGTTGAGCGCACGATTTCGTCCTCGAGAATGTTCGTGCGCGTATGAGGTTCCTTCTCAATTGCCTTTGTTAACTAGTTATAAACTGCATTTTTGAATCTTTCTTTAGGATTTGGTGTTGGGGAGGGGGAATCAAAGCCGTTTTTGGATAAAGTATGTTCCTTTAATCTCCTTCTCCTCTAAACGAATTATTTCAAGATACCCTAGTTGGGCAATAATAAATTAATTTCAAATAAAGAAAATGAAAATTCGTCTTAAACTTTTTTATGAATCATATTTCCCGTATTTTCAGGCATCCAGTCTCTAAAACACAAGAAGATAAATTTTCGTCACTTGATTATTATTCCATGTGATTAAAATGTTTTTCAATGACTAATATATATATATAAGAATTGATTGGCTGCCCAATTGACCAATAACTGTGGCCGCGACGAGACCGTATTCCTTAAAATCGATAAATCACTGAACTAGAAAAAAGCCTTTGGATTCCATTCAGTTACACCAAAGCTACTTTAATCGAAAATAATGCGAATTACAAGTCTCGATCCTCAAAGAAATATAAATCACTGCCAATATTGATTTTTGCCAAATTAACCATCGCAGACACGCCTTCAATTCTTACCATGTTTTAGGTGCCTTATCACATGAGAATCGACCTAGAACACTATTTTTTCCTGTCGTAATGTCAATAATCTTATTGTATCAGGTGCAAATTAGTAGAAATGCATGTCCGTAAATCTTAATTTACCACTTCCCATCAATATTTATTAGTGATCCAGTCGCCAAGCGAAACAGGATTGAAGGCCAGATCAAAGCAAAACCAAGACTTTTAAGCGCGAAAAGTTAAAAAAAACTATGAGTTTACGTTTTCACCACATATATCATGCAGAAGAGTCATTAAGGACATATCACTTTTAGATAACATAAATTTTCGATGTTTTATTCAATATAAATGAAATTCAGTTGTAATTTTCTGTCACTAGTAATTTGAAATAAAAAAATAGACCGCTTCTATACTTCATTGAGAATGGCTTTCCAATTCAAAGCACTCTCCAACTTTCTCACAAGCAAAATTGATATTACTTGCTAAATCGTAATTAGCAATTGCTCTAAAAAATCTGCACTCAGGGCTCAGTCTACTGGATTTTGGAAGCAATCAATTCAAATTCGGCAATCGTTATCTGGAAATGATCAATTAACCAAATCA